GTTTATGTCCTTGTTGCTTTTCAGTCATCCAAGTCAAGGTTCAATCATGGCACCTGGACTTTTCTTGTTCGTTAGAATGTTTTTATTATTTGTCTCTTCTGTTTTCTAAAAAATGGCTCATGCTGCTTAGCTAACGATGACGTGGAAGTTAATGAAAAAAAATAGCTCATCTCATTTTTTTTTTCTTTCTAGGCTTTTGTGATTTCTTATTGGATGAAACCAAACTGAAGGAAACATGTTTTGGACTTGTTTGTGATTTCCTGTTACGTAAAATGCAACTGACATAGCGCTCGAGATCCCAACCACAAGGCGTTTAAAGATGGCTTTCTATTATATTTATATACTTTATATTTTGCATTTCTAAATCACATGACTATTAATGAATGCTGTTTCCAATTAGGATTGTTTGGCCTTGGTGGGAAGTGCTGTTTCATTTGAAATCCAGTATTTGGACTAAATCCATTTTTGAGTAAGTTTATGTACAAGCATTAGGAGACGTTTTACCATCAATGCCGATCATGCCGTCACCATCGCTGTCACCGGCGGCGAGGAAGGTTTTGGTCTCCTTGTCGGTGAGAGCTCTGGCAGACGCAGAAAAGTTCTGCAGGAACAGCCTACAAACCAGGAAAACCCGAGTAGTAAGCATTATCCAGAAACAAATGCATCGGCACATAAAAAAAAAAAATTTAAAAATAGATTTAAAAAATGTTGATATTCTTGTAAAACTGCATAGAGCCCACTAGTTTCTGGAACTATGAACTAATTTGAAATTCTAAACTTGAAATGCACTTTGAAATTTTCATTTTAAATGACTATATAATAGCTCCTGGAATTTTTTTTTCTAGCATTGAGTCATTTGAAAAAAAATTTCGGAAAATTTTGATTTCAAAATGTTACTGATTTTCAGTTCCAAAGAATGTTTTTAATTGGCTTTTCTTGAATCTTGATCTTGATGCATTGGAGTCAAACGAATTGTTAGCCTGATAGCATACATGCCCAAGTAATTTTAAACTTACTGTCCCAACAGCATAGAATAAAACAAGTCACTCATAGGTTTGCGAAAACCCTTAAGTCCATCTTGCATGTGTTTGGACGTCTCACTTGAGCTCCTCCTCCTCAATGAAGCCGCTGTTGTCCTGGTCAATGATCCGGAAGGCTTTCTTCACGTCATCGGGAGACTTGCTGGCCAGGCCAGACACCTTGAAGAAAGTCTTGAAGTTGAACGATTCGGGGGCTGCAAAGCAAACACCAAAGCACAAGACAGCAAACAACTGTTAAATGAGGTAGAGAAACGACATGAGATAAGAGGTAAGGTACAATGAGAATGATACGATCGGATAGATTTGATTAAATTGTTTAGAGAAGTTGATTCGATAAGATAGTGAAGATATCTAATTAAACTTGCTATCTAGCTAGCTAGTTAGGCTAGCTAGCTAGCTAGCTAAAAATCTGTCTTATAGCAATACAATTTAATAGGTTAATTTATTGCCCTGAAGACTGAAAAAATAGCATTTGATGTCATCCCTGCTCCCTAAAATTAGACTGAACCATACATACAAACATTAAGGAAATGTCACATGTTTGTGATACGTGCCATCAGAACCATACTTTTCTTTTCAAAAATAATTTTTAAAAAACTATTGTTTCAATTCCCAGTTTTGTTTTGTGAGTGGGTTGCACTGAACCCCAACCCCTCTGAAAAATGTGAACCATTCCACAACTCACGTGATCCACAGTTTTCATCACTGAAATCCTCTACAGGCCATGGGAAAAGCAAAAGTAAGATCATGCAAAAAAAAAAAATTTCTGTAAATTTGATGCTATTCCAACTATGACGAGTGGGGTTACGATCTTGCGTCAGCCTTTTTTTTTTTTAATTAAACTATATTGTTGAATCATGGCAACGTGCTTGTAGGATCAACATGCTATGTGCATAAACACCACATTGCTACATTTCACATATTGGCTAATTTCATGCTCCAAGCTCACTTTGTTTCTCAACAATACAAGAAAACAATGACATAATGAAA